AAAATAATCTTGTCAGTTAACGGTTAATAATCGGTTAACAAATTTTTTCCTGAAATGTTTTTTATTTTAAATATACCATTGTAGTATTTATTAATAATTTTGAATTTGCTTTTATTTTATTTTATTTCAAGTTTTAGTAATTTTGTTATGTGCTTATGTCATTTGAATTTGAATGCGTAGGCACCTCATTATTGTTAATTTTCTTATTCTTCGCTCTCGAGTCTATGGCACCTCATAGAACCACTTGTGGGAAAGTAATGAAATATGGCACACAGGACAGTCTGAACATTAATCACAACAAATTTGGAGTCTCTAACTCAATTCCTCTAGCGCCACCAACCATCCAAATTTTCGAACTTTAAGGGCTAGAAACATCTTTTTTTCTCTCTGAATCCTTGGCTCAAGACATCGATTCCGTCACTTTGAATTTTACAACTTACAATTTTCACCTCACCTTTAAATCATTAGATTATAAAACCGATAGTTCTGATTCTGAAATCTGATTGGATGAACTGTGTTCCAAGGCTTGGTAAAATAACCAGTATAAACTGATTTAAAGCCCTTTTAAAAATAACAGATATAAAAAAAAAACCACACAAAAGCACCAAACAGTAGCCCATTGGTGTTTCTGAACCCATATGACAGCTTGTTAATTATTGAAATAATGTTTTTACATCCACCCTAGCTCCTTGGTGAGCTCATGAGAATTTATTAATAAAGTAGCGATATCTAATTTGTCTTTTAAGTTAAGTTTTTCAATAAATCAGCACAAATTTCAACACAAAAACACAAAACTGGACTAAATGACAAGTCCTCAAGTTCAAAACAGTGACTTAATATTTCAATAGCGGTGGTTCTTATTAGGTTACTTCCCTGTTTGCCTGAAGAACTACAGGTTAAGTTTCTTGCACCCACAGATCATTTCGCTTCATAAGACCTCAATATACCATCAGCCACAGGTATTCATTTTATGTTGCCTGATTTGCTTTATTTGCCTTTCAAAGTGACGGTAGCCATTGACATTATGAATTTTTATGAATCACCATTTTATTTTTCTTATTTTATTACCATTTTATAAATCACCAAGGACCACGGTTTCACCTAAAAATCTTCTTTAAAGAAGAAAAAGTCACCTACATCTTGGATGGCCTGAAGATGAGTAAATTAACAGCAAATTTTCATTTTTAGGTGAACTATCCTTTTAACAGTTCACTGGAAGGGGAAAATATTGGGTTTCTTACCCAAAACTATGGCATGACTTCAGAAGACTAATGCTTTTATATCACTTTTATGGTACTTGAACGCTCCAATGCCTTATCATTGTAATTGGGTAGAAAAATTGACCAGAAAGTTCTCCCTATTGTGTTCTACAGAATAGGAGTTTTGTGTTAAAAAGAGATGTTCATTTTTGCATGAACTATCCTTTTGGGAGCAAATGTACAATCTTTTTTTTAATATATATATAAGCCTCAAGGTCTTCAAAAACTTAGTAGCAGTGATAAGACCCTCTCTAAATTAGTGAAATGTGTGTGTGTGGGAAGCCGTGTGATCTGCTTTACCTTGCCACGTGTAGTGGTACACAGTAGGCCAGTGTTCCGATTGGAGAAGCCACAGTCAAAGCCTTTTCTGTGCAGTATCAAAGCAGCTTGCTCGGATGGACCTCCCCCTTCCTCCTGCGAGAGAAGCGAGACAGAGCCTCAGGCCGCATAAACACAACACTGTTTCTTCTCCACACGCACCCACTTTCACTCATCAGCTGCAGCTCAACACCACAGTCAGAGTCTCTCCCATCCCAACACCATGGAAAGAGCTTCTCCTCAAGACTTCAGAAAACAAAGGAACTTGAAGCAATCCTGCTGCTTCGAAATAACTTGAGCTTTATTGATAGCATGTGACAGGCTGCCGATTTTGCACTGAAAATAATTTTGACGTATCCATAGGTTTGTCAAATCAAACAAAGTCTGCATTTACAATAATGCACTTACAATGGATTGATGGGGCAAGGCATTCTTTTGGTAAAAAGAAGAAATAAATTTTCACTTATTTATAATGAAGCGCACTCATTAGATCTTCTGGACAGAAATGAGCTGTAGTTGTGCAAACCTGGACTTCTCTAAAGTTGTATAGAGAATTATGCATTAATGATGTAATTTGGCTGAGTTTCTGGTATCCTTTCCACGTATCGCATCACAGTTACAGCATTTACGAACTTATCATGCTCATAAGCATACAGTTCAAATACTGGATTAAAACTAGTGATTAATTCTTTACCAATCCACCACACCAAAATAACATTTTTCATTTAGCATAAAACAGAAAAAAAATATATACTTAATCAAAAAAAATATCAAATAGAGTTGTATATAAAAATGTAAATTGCACATAAGGTAGTTTATATATAAACTTTAATATGTTAATTATGTTTTTACTAATTACACATTTTTTTGTTGAAATATAAACATTTAAACGGTGATAAATTAAAATAATCTAATAGAAGCTTGTTTTCATGAAAGATTTATATTAAATTAAATAGAAATAAACAGGCTAAGTAATAATATAATGAATATGTAATATAGTGCATATAATAGGCCCTAAGCAAAATGCTGAGGTGAATGTAATGTTACGTGACATTGTTTACAAGCTGTTCTACTTACATCTTACATCATAGTTACATTACAGAGCGTCAAAACAACAGCTATTATTTAGATATAAAATTGACAGAATTTGAAAGCTCATGCGGTTTCATATCAAAAAAGTATCAAACCGTTTAAATGTGCACTACACTGGATCTTCTCCACCCAGTTGTTTTGCACATTATACTGACACCTATTGGTCTGGATGTATTGTTTGTTTACTAACTGTAGCCACTTTGTATTATTGCTGTTGCTATTGTTAGTACTAATTGGGTGCATGACACAAATGCATTACAAAAATTATAGGGCACAACTTTAAATCCGGTGGCTATATTTTTTATATTTTGGCTATATTTTTATATCACTGTATTTTTCATGTTTTCCCAACACAGTGTCATTCCCCATATATGTCCTATTCATTGCAAGTGCATTTTCCCCCAAACTAGAGTGAGAGGAAATTATTTTCTATGGTAGCACTTCTATCGAACCCGGAACATTCCATTAACTATTTTCTGTCATTATTCATAATAAAATTGGCACTTTAATCTGTACTTGGCCCTTCATGAACAGTGAAACAGGAAAATATTTACACACACACACACCTCTGCCCAGCCGATTCTCTCATCACTGTAAACCTGGAGCACTAGATTAACAACAGAAATAGTAAATCACTCTGCACAGTCCATAAAGCTCTCACAACTGAGATACATTTTTGGTCATGCAAAAAAATAATGAAATGTAATCAATGTCTTCCATGCTTGAAAAACACTTTTCATTTGCATAAAGGGTGTCCTTGAGTGGATATTTCCACGGCAAGCAACAAAGGAACGTTCAGGCATTGTTAAATTATTTTATTCTATTTCAGTGCACCAAAAGCTCTTCTACACTTCAGCCAACTATCCTGTCAATCATTTTAATTAATAATTACATATATCGGGAGTGAATTCAGCCTCCCAGTTCAGCAGTTTAAGGGTAGTTTTCTGGCTTTCTGATGGTCTGTAACTAACACTCATGTCATTGCTCAATCAAAACAAATTTGGGAAAGTATAGAGGTCAGATTCCTCAGACTCTAAATTAATTCTGATACACCTTAATGTCAAAACTAAATTTGAGTTGCCATGAATGTAGTCAATAAGTGTGAGAGAAACAAATCCCAATGTTTTAACAGCTCTGTTCCACACCCTAGTCAACTGTCTACCTAGACAGCTTTTTTAAGCATTCTAAACATAAAAGGTTGTTCTAAAAAAATGGCAAAATTACACTTTTTTTAATAACATTATGTTGGCCAAATTCTAAAATAGCAATTGACGTATCCTCTGTGGATAAGGCAATCCCAGAATGTAAGCTGAATGTAAGCATATTATTTGTTAGCTTAACAACATATTAACATCAAATCCTTTTGGAATGAAATGTGCACTCCATGCGATTAGCGCACTGCTATGGTGTGCCCTTGAAAAAAATGGTACACTTCAGCATACTTTTAAAAAGAGCACTTATTAAGGATAATAGAATCTACTTCAGTGTGAACTGAATGTACTGTTTTCGGACACTTAACTGCATGTTAATTGCAATTAAATAAAAATGTAATATTTCATTTGCTAAGAAATGCATTTAACTGAACTTTAGATTGCTTTTTGACCCACTTAGGTACATCTTTATATGTAATTTCACAATTACTTTTACTAAATTTGAAATATGGTTAAAGTGTACTGCTATATGTACTGACAAGCATGATAAACTAAAGTATTTTTTATCACATAATGTCATATAATAATGTCATATACTGTATAATAGAATTCTATTGAAACTTGCAAGTCGTGTATTTAAATAGATTTGTTATTATACCTTTGCAATGATGTTTAGCAATATATCAATTTTAAATGTAATATCGAATAACACTGCAGTTAAAATTATAATTAATTACTTTACATATGCTTTAGTATGTTAGCCAACACATCAAAATAAATTGAAGAAATGATTAAAACGTAATGATATAAAACTTGTCATGAAAGTGTTCTCTCTTTAAATACACTTAAGTGGTCTTTTATGTCCTTACAGCACAGTTCTTTTACAGATATACTTTTAAGATTCCGTACACTAAAAGTGCACTTTTCAGTTAATATGTTGCCTTAGAAGGTAGCTGTCTGTAGACAGCGCGGCAACTCACTACAGTGTGGAATATCATATATTTTTATGCCTGTGGGGTCTACTTTACAATGATACTATAGTTTATGTATCAAAATAATTTTGTCATTATTTTGTTTGAGCAGATAGCATAGCAATAGCGTCCATGCTGAACCTGTATTATGTGATAGATTCATTAAACAATCCAAGCTGAAATATACCACATAAACTGTTAAATTCAGGCTGCTATGATCAAGGATATTGTAAAAAAAAAAAATCAATTTCAGCTGGTGTTTATGACACTGGATTCTTCAGAAGGATACCGCAGAATGACAGCATTTGTTCTGGAGTTAAGAATAAGTATCCATATCCATTTATGAATACCAAATAGGCATTGTTGACATGTTAATGTGGGCAGTCATGTGCTTATGTTATTTCAATAAATAGGGCCTAGTCACATGGGAGGATTCGAGTCGGTAAAGTTACAGTATGTTTTGACAGTACAATGAAGTCTTTTATCTCAAAAGATCAAGAAAATTGTGATTCCTTATGATAAGACCCCTTTAAGCATTTAAGCCAGACTGAATCACATCCTCTCATCCTCAAATGGTCCCATAAGCCCTGTTCTGAGCACTTTTACCCTGTCATGCGTTAAAATATTACAGCTCAGCCCTGGGAAATAGTATAGGACCCTAAAATATCAATTTGAAGGTCAATATACTTTATGGCCCTCTTAGGAACTGAGCCAGCAGTCCTGTGCTCCCCAATTACGGCCAAAACAGTCCCTCTTTCAACAGACCCTACAAACACAACTGAGACATACCTTTGACTGGATAGCACGCAGGTTAACCAGATGCATGTCACAGGGGAAGGAGGCGCTCAGAGGGCTGTAGGGAGTCAAGGATGGGTTGTCCGAGCGCTGATTGACTGCCATTGAGATGAGGGGATGGTTCAGGTACATGTACGACATGTGACTCAATATAGACGGATAGCTATATGGTGCAGTCTCCTCATTCTGGGCCTAAGACAGAAAAGTGATAGCATTAGTGATAGATGATCAGCATTACATTAACATAATTGTAACATATTTGAAACTACACAAGTATGTGAATGCGAACACTCCTGAATTAGTCTTCTACGATGACTATTATGGTTTAGCAGCATTTTCAAGAAAATCTAGCAAAGTAAGTTATTTAAACTATCATCATAAAATACTTATAGTCCCATTAAGTACTGAGGTTTGTCACAGCCACAGTAACACAAGAAAGAACATTAAAGCAAGAATGTACAATCAATGGGACTGCATTGACCAACATTTGCGTACTTGCATTGAATACGTTTCTGGCCTATAAGTAGACAGTAACAGGTTAAGCAACAGGTTATTCTGTCAATCCTACTTGGGGAAAAAACAGGTTAAGGTGGTCAAGCTGGTTATTACAAAATTAGAAACTGGGAGATGGTTTGTTATTGGTCCATGAGCCGGCAGTCCATCTGTTTAACCATCTAGACCACCTAATACCCATAAATGACAAGCTTGGACACACTTTAAGTCATGTAATACCAGCTACCACCTTAAGCTCATCTTCAGGGACTCCAATAACCATTTTCATGTTAAAGCCATAACAGGTTATACTATTTATCTATATACATAAACTACTGTTAAAGGGGTGGTTGATTGCGATTTCATTTTTTATACGTTAGTTAGTGTGTAATGTTGCTGTTTGAGCATAAACAATATCTGCAAAGTTACGACGCTGAAAGTTAAATGCAAACAGAGATATCGTCTTTTAAAATTCTGGCGGTTTAATGCCAACAAAAACGGCTGGTAGAGACTACAACAAGTTACTTCCCGGGTTCGTGACGTAACAAACCCAGATAAACCTCAGGAAAAGGCAGCAAAGGGGTCGAGGCCATGCTGCGCTCTCTCCAACAATGAACTGTTACAATTATACACTTATTTTCACATAGCTATGTGAAGCGTTAAACATGGACTCGCGTGCAGTTGCCGTACTGTATTAAAGCTTTAATCAGGATAAAACTGTATATTAAAAGCTAACATAAGCAGTAGCATTTACAAATAACAGCATATCTAAAAGTATGAGACAACAACAAACAAAAAACATAGGTCTACCATTAAAAGCCGTGCTTGCACAGGTTCTGCACGATCCTCTTCAATAATATCCTCTGCTTCTCAATCAGGCTCAAACTGATAAGCGATATTAACGATGCCGTTGTTTACAATACAACTGGAGCACATGCCGCTGAGGGATGTTTAGACGCGCACTAGAGGCGGTTTAGCCAATCACAACACACTGGGCTAGCTAACCAATCAGAGCCCATCGCCTATTTCTGAGGGA